AGGATGACAAGGAAGACGAAAGAAGGGTAAATGGCTAAGAAGGATGGGTCTGCAATGATGTAGGAAGGCTTGCCACCTCCGTCATCTCTTGGTCTGTAAAAGGACCACGAAAGCCCAAATGAATGGAAGAATACAGATAAGATGAAGACAAAATAGAGGCCATCAAGTGCATCCTTTTATTGGACATCCAGTATAAATGCGGAAATGGAGAACAAAAGGGTTTGATACCCACTCAGTTGTCTTCCCAAAAATAGGTCTTAGAGCGATGCCCCATTGAAGATTTCACAATCTGGAAGAACATAGGGAAACCTGAAACAATAACAACTCAGACATTTTTACTAGAGCCCTTGTCCTTGCAACATGCAACCTACTACTATAGCTACGCACAATATTTCTATGCCACAAAGTGGTAGGCTCCATGAAGCCTCATATGTTATACTAAAAGATTCATGAGATAAATTATCCATTCTAGGTATTAATTGCCACAATGAAATCTAGATTTACCTTTACAGCATAACCTCAAAGTTTTCTTCTTTTGGGATCCGAAGGTGTGTAGCGGCAGGAAAAAACAATTGACTTTCCTTTAGGGTATAAAATTAACCTTTATTCAATTAGTTCTTTCAATAATTGTTGTGATCTTTTCGTCCACATTCAATTTTCCTCGGTGTCTATTGCCAGAACCAAAAAGCTCAGGCGAGACGAAGGGTGTGTGAGAATGTGCCTTTTCATTTGATTAAGTGGAGCATGGTGTTTGTTTGTTTGTGAGTGGCAGATTGAGGATTGGTAATGGCTGACTAATAACCTTGCTCTTCTAATTAAGTGGCTTTGGACTTTGGAGAATTTGGTGGTAGGAGTCTACTTTAATGTATAAGATTATCGCAAGTAGATTTGGGGTTTAATCCAATAGTTGGATTTCCAACTATCTCAATTGTGGTTCTAGAAGGCCATTGCCATTGCTTAGGCTTCATTTTTAATTGTTGAACTTATTTGTAAACGCAAAAGGGTAGGATTGTAGATGACCATTGTAATTTTCACTAAACTGAATTTTTTTACTATTTTTATTTTATTATAAAAAACTTCCATTTGAGGGAGTTCCTGAAATTCTCCTGTATTGCAGAGATGAAGATCGGTTTTCTGGATATCTATTTTTTTTAAAAAAAAATCTTTGTAGAGAGGTCTTTCTTTTCATTAGGGTCACTTGAGGAATAATAGAATTTTTAGATGGGTGAAAGATCTTTGAAAATGGTGTGGGAGGTTGTATGGTTTTAATGCTTCTTTATCTGTGTCCGTTGATTGGAGTTTTTGTGATTATCAGTTTTATGTCATACTTTTGAATTTGACTTGATTCTATTGGTAAGTATGGGATTGAGAATTCCCCTTTTGTGGGCTTATTTTTTGTTTGCTCTTCTGCATTCTTTCCTTTTTCTCAATAAATCGCAGCTTGTATGGTGGTTGCTCCCGTTTGCCCGGTTTATAGCTTTGTTTAGCCTGTCTATATGGGGGCTTTTTCCTAGCCCCCCGCCACAGTATAAGTTGCACCTCTCATATTGCATCTTCTCATATTATTTCTTTCTTTCTTTTATGGTGTCATGCCTTTTCTCTTTCTTTTTCTAATCACGTCTTGTTCCTTTTAAAATTAAAACAATCTGTGGATTATTTATGGTTCAGCCTTCATAATATCGTGAGCTTACTATTTAACTCTTTCATGATTTTTCATTAAATGGAAGATTTCCCCGTTTGAAATTTAATAATTATTTTTTTTAACTATTGGCGTTAGCTTTATTTAATATCTAATGAACCATAAATACAAGTATATATCAGTGTATTATAGTGTAATTTCTAAAGAAACAGTTGGAATCCTTTTGATGCTCTTAATACTTTCCCATCTTCATAGATTTTCAGTATTTGCTGATGATGTATATCAGATTGCAGCAAAATTGGAAGGTTAAAAGACAGCGCGTTGCTGCTCCAGCTCCTGCAAATGAAGGCTTTACCATCGATTTATTTGACAATTTATCATGTGATCCTTCGTCTGTGTTTCGACCATCTTCATCTACTATTCGTGTTGATCGTGATTCGTCTGGAATGCTGGCAATTAGTTTACCTCCAAATACATGCCACTCCCTTTGTTTTGGATTTCTCAGTGGATGTAATATGGAAAATCCTCTGGAACGTGGTAAAAATGAGTCCACAAATTCATCCAATCAGTCTCCAATTGAAAGTGAGAAGGAGTTTACAAATGACGATGAGTACATTAAGGAAACTAACTCACTTCTCCGTCAAGTTCACCATGCCATTTTCAGTGAGCAGGTAGTCTCATTAATACTTTGATCTTGCTCATTACAAGTCCTTGCAACTTGGCCCCCACCACATGATATATGATACATCATTTTTTTTTTTCTCACTATACTGGTTCCAGGTGTTTGATTTTGTGAATCGTGAAGCATTCAATCCATCCTTAGGTATCAACGTGACTGGCATACGAGAAAATTACTTGCAATTAAGTATAGATCAGGGTACGTCGGTTTTTATCTCTCTGGTGCCAACTGGTCAAAGCTGCCAAACAGTAGAAGATGCAAATACCGGGATTCTGGATAATACAAATTTACCTTTTGATTCGCTTGATGGGATTGAACTACCAGATAGAAGTGACCCCCTTGAAAAGAAATTGCGGAATCCTAATTATACAACCTTTGAGATATATCTGCAACAAATTTTCCATGAGCTAGTATTTGTAAAATCAAATGATAAACCCATTTCATCATTAAGCAGGCAATCAGGTCAACCTTCTAATGATGGGTCTGGACTTCTTGGTCATTTCTGTTTGTCTCTGGCTCACAGAATATTCGCAAACAAGGTTCTTATGGAGCTTGAAAATGTGGTAAGAGTCCTAATTTCTTAATAACTCAGTTTCCGATGAAAGCACAGTGCCTCATTTTTCTTTTCTTTTTTTTTTTATAAAAAAAAAACTACAATAACTATGATTTCTGTTTTTGATTTTACCAGCTATTAATCATGTAGTTTATCTTTGGTTTGTTCTTAGGTTTGGAAAGTTCCATTTCTTCAATTGATATCTCATCCCACTTGGAATTCTCGAAAGTCTTCATGGACGTTTTTTATGGAAGTTCCCCAGTCCAAACTTCATCCTCCTTCTATCCAGGCTCGTACATCAGATAGTCATAAAATGAATAGTGTGACCAAATCACAATTTCAGACTAAAGTGGTTGTAAATGATGATTGCATCACTATTGAAGGGGAAGGTGCTCCTGATGTAGTTGGCTTGTTTAAGGGAAATTCCAAGGATATGTATTCAATGAACAGATATGGCTGTGACTTGGCTGATCTTCCCGTTATAATCCTGTTGCAGGTGAGCACAAATTAGATTTCCTTGTTTTGAGCTTCTTTATCGATGGAAAGTAATAGTAACAATATCGTTTTGATTCTGCAACAGGTTGCGAGCCAAATTATTCTTTGGCTCCATGAGGAAGCCCTAACCTGGGGAATAAAGGTGAGCCGTGACTTCCTAAGTCTGTCATTTGAGCTAGAACAAGGTGAAACACTCCGTCTGGTCGCCCATGTGGACCCAGAAGATGCTCAAGGATGCCTTTCTTGGTGGTTGGTAATGGACGATGGCCTAATGGAGGACAGGAAACATAACTTCAACATCTCAGATGTTGTGCCTGAATACAGGAAGTTTTTGGGCCATTTATCTCTGGAAGTTTTGCAATCTACACTAATGGATTTGGTTAGTTTGTGCAGTGGATTTGGTGGTAGCCTATAACCATGCTTACTTGTCCGGTATTACAAACAGAAATTTCATCGAGCTCTTGGAATTTCTGCCCATGTTTTCAAATCTAATGAATCATCAGTTTTTGTCCGCATTGCTTACTCACCTTCATATGTTATTCATAATAGCAAATGTAGGGCGCATGACATGGATGGCTGGAAGCTGACTTCAAGAGGAAGAAACCGTTTAGGTGAGTATTCTTGATTTACACTTGTTTTCCAAGATAATTGATCACTAATCATCTATAACTAGTCATCTGTCTTGATGTGATTTTCTTCCATTGCCCCTTCGTTTGAAATCACAAAGTGGATGATTTAACTTAAGATGAATGCTATGGGTACGACGTCGGTAACTTGTGAAAGTTAAATTACGTTATGATCATGAAATGGAATTCATATATTGTTGTTTTGCCAATATAATGAACATTACTCATTCAAATGGGAATTTTGTTGCCCTTTATTTTCGCCTATATAATGCTCTAAAATGCCATTAAATTTAACATAGTGTTTTAAAAATGAGATAAAAATAAACAAGAACTAGAAAAAAAGATGATGATATTCAAAATTACTCAATAAAATCACGTGATAACAAAAAATTGTAGTATTCATCGATAGGTTGATATATGTACTGATCAAAATATATCATTTAGTACTGACGCCTTATTGGTCAAAATTCGCTTTCAAAGTATAAAGATCAAAACGAAAAAAAAAAAAAAAAATTAAATTTAAATAAAATAATTTTTTATTTGCATAAATATCTGTTGGTATCCATACATCCATCAATATAAATATAAATTTTGATAATTAGTTTCACTAAATTGACCTAATTTCATTAAAGGTTCATTAAAATCTCTATAATATAAAAAGCCATCTTGGAAAATAGGGAAAACTCCAAAAGTTTCATGGACATAAAAAGTCAAAAAAAACATTAAATTTTGAAGACCAAAATTCAAAAACATTTCACTATTCAAATCCAAAGCTTTCTATTGATTTCTTCAAAAACAAAAGTAAAAAAAAGAAAAGGCAATATTTTTTTTTTCTTAATTACTCCAAATGCTGTTCCAAAGCGATGAGAAAAAGTCAAAGAAACTTTGACCTTTATCCAATATTTTTAATTTTTCTTAAAGAATTTAATATTTTGCACATTACAGGCAAATTAGCATTTGGGCAATGTGATTTAATTCCTTAATGTTGACTTTGATTGGTGGGAAAGCAAATAAATCTGGCAAAGACAGAGGAAAAGGAAAAAAAATCTGAGGAAGTGTGCAAATAAGAAAGGCGTTTAAGAAGAATTGTCTCGCACGATTCAAAACCCCATATTCTTAGTTTCTTTCACGCAACGAATAACCCCCTTCACTCATCCTCCCCATCAAAATCCTAACCTTCTGCTTTACAGATCTCTATCGTCCAGAATAGAATTTACATTGTGGGTATTGAAGCGTTTTTGAAGTCCAATTCTGGGTTATCGAGAATTCGAAGCCTTTGTTTCTATAAAAGGGGTTGGGATTGGAATACGAAGAGACCCAGATGTGGGTTTGTTGCAGATATTCATTTGGAGGATCTCTGATGGAATTGGTACCTTTTCTATGATCTTGTGTCAATCAATTCGTGAGTTCTTTGGCATTTAATTTTGAGTTTAATCTGAGTGGTAATGCAGTAAAGTTATCTGGGGAACTCAACATTTGATAGATTTGGAGTCCTTTCTTTCCTCCATGTCGGGGGGAACACCCGTAGCGGGTGGTTATATGAGGCAGAGGCATAGCCAGGGATATGCTTCTAGTGGTGATGATATTGAGGATGATGCATGTTCGAGGTTTCAAGCTATGTCGTTTCATACTTCAAAGAGTCGGACGTGGGTTGAAGTTGTAGAGAATGTCCTTTGGCTTGCTTCTGCTGCTTTCATTGTATACTATGGCGATAGGCATTCCAATATGATAATTCTCTTGTGGCATGATGGCCGAATAAGAAGGTGAACGAACACTTAGATGTATGCACACTTCTGATTATTGTTTCATCATATTGTTGCCAGATTTATTTTCTCAAATTTTTAGAGCTGGAATGGTTATATTGTTGCCTTTTGGTGTGTGCCTCAAAATCAAGAGTTGTGGTTTATATAAGCTCACTAATTCTGCACATATCTTATAATTTTTGTATAGAGAATCATTTGATCAGCTTTGGCATATTCATTGTCAATGTTCATAGAAAGATACAGGTAGCTTGATAAGTTCTTGTACAAGACATCTTAAGAAATTGCATTTACTAGAAATTTTCAGCGCTTAAAGAAAAAAGCTAAAGGATACACATTAAGTAGTTGTCATTCTAGATTGATCATGTCTTCTAGATTGCATCTTTCTGTTGATTTTTTTTTTTTTTTGTATTGAGACCGCTTTAGTTGATTAGTATCCGTAGGTGTAGATTTTGTAGAACTTTTCCAGTTTTTGGTATGGCATTGGTTTTGATCAATTGTGGTCATGCTATGTTGGAAGAAGTTAATCGTCACCTCTATTTTCCAAACTAAGGGAATGTCATATGTGCTTCTCGGAAATGTACAGTACTCTATTTCATTACAAGAATCGGGCGTAATCAACAGGCAAGTGGGTTTCTCTGTAGTTCATGGAATACCTAGCTAGAATGGAATCCGACGGTTTTAAGAGGTTAGAGGGGTCTTGGGAGCTTGGAGTTTGGCTTTTAATGCATTTGTTTTCGATGTCGGGTCTCGACTTTTGTTGTGACATTCCTTTACTTTTGGTTCTCAATAGTGAGGGTTCCTTCTTGTAATGTTTTTGGCTCCTCTTTGCTTGTGCCTATGTTGTTTGTTTGACCCTTTTTGCAATATTTCAGGATGTGTTTTTTTTCTTTCATTAAAGAACATTAGTATTCTTAGATTCACGTACATTGCTTGAATTCTATTCTCTTGAGCAGACCTCCGTTATACCTTGGAATGGTGGCAATCGGCTTGAATATTGTCATATTCATTTACACGAGTATGTCAGCTTGGAGTATTAGAAGGTTTAATGAAAAATGGGAAGTAGCAAGCTTATCAGTTTTACCAATTGCAACACTTCTTGGGCTTATCTCTTTTTGCTTGTAAGATAACCCACCAACTTTTATGATATTGCAGCCTATTAGCATTCATCATTGCTCTCTTCTCTGATGTGAAAAACACCTTTTTCCTTCTCTTTTGTAGGTTGTCATTTGCTCTTTGGCCGATATGGGGTTTCCTGACCATTCCTCTTCTGGTACTTATCACATGCTTTTGGCACTTACCAATTGTTAAGCTTACATGGCATCCAATGACTACTACTACTCTTTGGTGTTGCTGCAGTTCACTTTGTTCATGGCATGCATGGTTGTATTTCCAAGTATAATTATCAGGAAATTCAGGCCTCAGAGTCCGCAGAGCGATGTTCTTCGTACAGATTAACTTTCGCTCGATCCAAGTGATGATGCATAGACGAAAAGATTGATTTTGAAGCACAGATGATTGGTTGAACTGGCTTGATATAAAAGAAGGTTCTGATTTGGATTGCATGATTCTCCATTAGCCAACTTCCGTCTCTTCAGTCAATTCGAATACCGACCTTGCCATAATTACGCACGCTCATGGTACATCTGACCTTCACTATTTTGGTATGGCTACAACTGGAGCACCATTCTTATATTGTTACATCTTCTGTTGGCAAAGTCCATTTACTTTGTTATGTAGTTTAGTTGCCTCATTTTTTTCATTGGAAAGTAGGCGTGTGGCATGCCTTATTATTCGTGTAGGTGATTCGTTTCATTTTAGCATCTTCGCTCGCAACCTTAGCACAAGGAAAAGAAAGAAAACAAAAAAGTCTCATTAGACAATATGTAGGACTGTAAAGTTTCGGAAAATACTGTTTCAGTGAAGTTACTTGAATGAATGATCTGCTGGGCCATATTTTTTTTGCTGACTTTTTGCTGACTTTTTGCTCTTTCTGCTGTTGTTTAAGTGCGTTCGAGGCATTCGTTCGTCGTCGTTACTTAGAAAACTGAATAAAGATCTTAGTCTTTTTAAGTATTGAATAAAGATGTTAAGCTGGTCTTATCCCTTGATTGATATCCATTGCTTCAGCCCACCTTCTTCCACTTGGCTGAATGAAGCATATTTGAAGCATATTTGAAGCATATTTGAAGCCATATTTGAAGCCATATTTGGCAGAAAAATGACAATGAGAAAGAAGTTGAGTATTCACCTAATTGCTGGTATATTTCATTGTTTTGAAGTAGGATTCTTTATATTCCTTCATTGTTTATGTATTTGGTAAAGGAATCAGGAATAAGTTGGAGTGCTACCAGACAATGACTGTCAAAATTTGTAATCTTCTTCAAATTTATTTACAAATACCCATTGCCTTGAAACCACCCAAGAAAAAAGGCTAAATGTTCTTTTTTTTTTTTTTTTTTAATATTAAGTTAATTTATCTTTTTAAATTAAAAATGAAATAAGAATTGAGAAATTTACTTAATTTATTTCTCATTCAAAAAGAAAAAGCTATTTTGATACCATTTATACATTTTTTTTTAAATTTACCAACACTTTTTCTTTTTCATGGTGTAGTCTACTTTGAAATTTTGAGCGAGATACTCTGTTTTTTTTGGGAGTAAGATATCAAATGGCTTTCGAAATGAGAAAAAAAAAATGCTACTTGTTTTAGAAAAAGTATAATAGATAGAGAAATAGCCAAAGAGGATAAGAATTAAAAGATGAAATGAGAACCAAATATGATTATCAAATGGATTTCTAAAAGTGAAGCGTTTTTCCTATGGACCATGGCACTTTTTGCTTACAGCCTCCCCAGAAAGTGGTGAATAGGAGGAGGAATGAAGGCTTTCAATGGCTTTGCTATTTAACTTATCATATGAACTCCATTTTCAGACCTCCCTCTGGCTCTTTCAAATGACGAAGATGGCCATTTGAGATGTGGGTTTGAGAGGGGAGGGATGTTGGGGCTATCGATTTTACTTTTTGTTTTTTGTTTCTTTGTTGAAGCTTCTGTCTTTTCCTTTTTTCTTTTTGGGTTTTTGGGAGTCTTTCTTTTGAGCGTTTGACCCTGCGGGGAACTTCCCATTTTCCATACTTTTGCTCCTTCTGATCCTTCATCTTAAGTTTCAACAACAACAGCTATCTTCCAACCACTCACCCATTTGTGGGTTCTGTTCTTCAATGCTTCAATACAACAACCAACCCATTTGCCATCATTCAAAGCCTCTATTTCTCGATCCACTTGAAGGGTTTTGGTTTGCTTTTTTCAGTCTCTCTCTCTTCTTGAACGCACTCTTGTACTTGGTAGGTTGTGCCGCTGAGGCCATGGGCCCTAAACTCCACTGAGGTTTAATGGCCACAGGGGTCTCTTTCTCCTCCTTCATTGGCCTCTTTGCTCCTGTTTTCTTCTGTCTCGCATTTAATTCTTCCTCAGACCGCTCTGGTGAGCTAGATGAGATTTGGGGTTTCTGATTTCTTGTCTGTAGACCTTGTGGGACGAGCTTTACACGAGGTTTTTCTGCGCAGATCTCTGATTTCTGAAATGGGTCTTTGAGATAATGCTCAAATCATGCTTACTCTCTTTCTTCCACTTTAATTTACTGTGTTTCAAGCCTGAATTGTGGACTTGCCAAGGTGGGATATACAAGCTTGAAGAGCCGACCTGCCGCAAGTAATCTGTGTTAGAAATCTGTGATGCATTTCTTATTTTCAAATGGTTCTTGTAGTATCAGACAAATGTGAGGTTGGGTAGTGGTTGGAGTTTGAACATTTATCTTGTGCCGATATTCCCACAAGGGAAGAGATGGAGAGAATGATCCAACCTCCTCTGGTAAGATCTTTATCCTTTGGACGATGTTCTTGCTTTTTTTATACACTTATTTTGAATAATATGTATGTGCAATGATCCTGCCTTCAGTGGAATTTTCGAGAATTTTAATGATTTGATTTCTTAAGATTCTTGTTTGATCAATGATTAGCAACATGGGAATTTGATTTTAACCATGTTTGATCATTGATTAGCATCATTGATTAGCAAATGTTTGAAGCTAATGAATGACAAACTCATGAAGTCTCCTAATTTGTATAGAATAAGGTTTGTTGTCTTTTATTCATGTTCTTGTGTTTCTTACATCTGTTAGGAGAGGAAGTCAGAAGAAAAGGATTAGACAGACACAAATCAAGCTGCAAAGACAACTTATATACAAAAATCCAAAACCGATTAGATCGTTTCAAAACTATACCGATTCGCTTCTATTTGAGAATTTCGATAAAAGGAACTTAGAGAAGGAAATATTCTTACATTTGCTCGTATTTGCAAATCCGCCCTTAGGTTAAGCACGTAGATATGTTCCAAATTTCTTAAGGCATTTCTTCAAATATTGCTTTAATTCTAATTAATAGGCGTGTAACAATCCAAGTCCACCACTAGCAGATATTGTCCTGTTTGGGCATTCCCTTTCGGGCTTTCCCTCAAGGTTTTAAAACGCATATGCTAGGGAGAGGTTTCCACACCTTTATAAAGAATGTTTCGTTCTTCTCTCCAACCGATGTGGGATATCACATAAAGACTTCCACTCTTTCCTTCGAGCTGGTTTCTAGCCAAAAGTTGGTAAACTAGGCAGCCTTTGGAAAGGTTCATTCCACCATATCGAGCGAGAAAAAATCAATCATCTTTGCTGGGACGTTAGACCGAGTTGACGAGGGAGAGGAGCGAATCCGCTTTGTTACATGTGAGTTTTTCTTTAGTTATACTCCAAGATGATTTCCATTATCTATGGAAAAGTACAAAAGACAGGACGGATAAAGCTATTCCCTCGAAAATACTGATCCAAGTTACAAAAATAGCTTGCAATTTTCTGGGATTGAAGAAAGCTGAGTTTTTATAGCCTGTGTTATTACATTTCTACGTCAATTAGTTAGTATGGATACCATTGCTATATGTGCTATTATCTTTTGTAGGATTAAAAGGAAGAATGGCTTACATTCACTGATGGATGATTTCAGGTTGACACAACAGCTTGTTTATGTAGAGTAGATGCAGGCCTCAAGACTGTTGCTGGAGCTAAAAAGTTTGTCCCTGGCTCAAAGCTTTGTCTACAACCTAGCATCAAACCATCGATACACCCAACTCGACCTAAGCCGGCTCGTAGTGACCGGAGCAGGAACCAATCTCCTTTGCTTCCTGGACTACCCGACGATCTTGCAATAGCTTGCCTTATCCGTGTCCCAAGGGTTGAACACCGTAAACTCCGATTAGTTTGCAAAAGATGGTATCGTCTTTTGGCTGGCAACTTCTTTTACTCTCTTCGTAAGAGTTTAGGAGTTGCAGAAGAATGGATTTACGTCGTTAAGAGAGACCGAGATAATAAGATTTCATGGCATGCCTTTGATCCCATATATCAGCTTTGGCAGCCCCTTCCTCCTGTCCCTAAAGAATACTCAGAAGCTCTTGGGTTTGGCTGTGCGGTTCTTAGTGGTTGCCATCTCTATTTGTTTGGTGGCAGAGATCCAATAAAAGGAACAATGAGACGAGTCATTTTTTACAGTGCCAGGACAAATAAATGGCACCGAGCCCCCGACATGCTTCGTAGACGACATGTCTTTGGATCGTGTGTGATAAACAACTGTTTGTATGTTGCAGGTGGGGAAAATGAAGGTGGCCATCGGTCTTTGAAATCTGCTGAAGTATACGACCCGAATAAGAATCGATGGACCTTCATTTCCGATATGAGCAGTCCCATGGTGCCCATAATCGGAGTTGTTTATGAGGGTAAATGGTATTTGAAGGGATTTGGGACTCAACGTCAGGTTCTAAGTGATGTCTACCAGCCCGAAACCGATAGCTGGTGTCCTGTTTATGATGGAATGGTTGCAGGTTGGAGGAATCCAAGTGTTTCCTTAAACGGACATCTTTATGCTGTCGACTGCAAGGATGGCTGCAAGCTTCGGGTCTACGATGAAGCATCCAACTCTTGGAACAAGAGTATAGATAGCAAGCTGCATCTGGGGAGTTCTAAGGCATTGGAGGCAGCTGCTCTTGTTCCATTCAATGGAAAATTGTGCATCGTACGCAATAACATGAGTCTTTCTCTTGTCGACGTTTCGAAGTGCGAAGATTCCGACAGTGCTCCCGGTGAACATCTATGGGAGACCTTAGCAGGAAAAGGGCAACTCAAAACTTTGGTCACAAATCTCTGGTCGAGTCTTTCGGGTCGAAGTCGTCTGAAAAGCCACATAGTTCACTGCCAGGTGCTTCAAGCATGAATTTTTTTTCGTATTATTTCCTAGGCCTCTCATGCTTATATGTTCTACCATTGTTTCTCCTCTTTACATATCTTAGAACCATGGTTTGATGCCAAACATGGGAGAATCAATGCTAGTAATCGATCAATACTACTTCAAATAGTTCGGTCACATGGACGATTTTGTCCTCTGCCTCGATTCTTTTTTCTTGTCATCTGTGAGAAAGAAGGGAAACAAAATTGTCCATTCACCATAACATTATTTGTAGTAGTATTGAACTGTTAGAGAACTGCTAAAGAACTGCAAATATTTGTGCAGCACAGTGTGGGGGGATTCAGATTGTGACAGACCTTTGAGCCTTTCTTGATATCATCTCATAGGTACCATACAGAACATGATCATGTGTATTTCCCCAATTTCTCTGGAGATTCTGCTGTTATAGACTGCTGCTACATGAGTTTTATATGATACATATATCCAATCATTGTGTTCTTACATTACATTCTCTTTGTCGGAAATCTGGTCGCCCCTTTCGTCTATATGTCCAGATTACATCTCCATAATCCTGTTCTGTTTCCATGTTTTTTTCTGTTAGGTTGGATGGTCTTTTTGTACGGACGTCGTTTTTGTAGGTAGTGTAGCTAGTTTTTCATAGGGAGAGTTGAGCTCTATTCCTAACCCGTTCGGTAGGGGCTTGACCAGGTGATCGTACGTCACGATGGTGACTATAAATATATTACTCAACATTGGTCTTTTTGTACGGACGTTGTTTTTGTAGTTAGCGTTGGACTCCTCTTTCGGAGCTAGTTTTTCATAGGGAGAGTTGAGCTCTATTCCTAACCTGTTTGGTAGGGGCTTGACCAGGTGATCGTAGGTTACCAATAAGCTCGTTCTCTTTGGGCTTTCCTTTGAGGGGACTTACGGGCTTCCCCTCAAGGCTTTAAAACGTATATGCTAGGGGAGGGTCTCCACACCCACACCCTTATAAGGGTGTTTTGTTCTCCTCCCTAACCAATGTGGGACATCATAATCCACCCCCTTCGGGGCGCAGCGAATCTCCAATTGATGTGGGACCACCACCATTGAAACAACGAGAAGGCTGACACATCGTCTGGTATTTGGCTCTAATACCATTTGTAATGATTCTGATCCACCGCTAGCAGACATTGTCCTCTTTGGGTTTTTCCTTTCGGTTTCTCCTCAAGCTTGAAAACGCATCGAATAGGCGAAGGTTTTCACACTCTTATAAAGTGTGTTTTGTTCTCTTCCCCAACCAATGTGGGACATCATACGGTCTATCTACAATACGTTCTTGTTCTATTCTCATATTATAAAGCTTCGATTTTATTCTTAAAATTTCAAAAAAAAATTCTATTGAGTCGAGAAAAATATCAATTATATCAATATTTTTAATGATTAGAAAATTAAGGCATAATCCAATTATAATTATAAAGTAAGTTAACTATAATTGGATGAATTTTTTTAAAATCAAAACAAATGTCAACCAATAGAAAATTATACTTTTCATTCAATTTTTTTTTTTTTAATATTTCTAGTAATTAGAAACTTAATTTGAAAATTTTAATAGCTTCAAATAAAAAATTAGAAAATATATAAATAATGAAATGGGAAAATAAAATAATATAAAATTAAAGAAAGTCCATCACTTTCGCTCTCCTTTCTCATAGTCGCACTTCCAGAAGTGAGTGTTAGGGTTAGGGTTTTAGGTTTCAGAAGCTCGATGGAAGAGATAACAGAGGGTGTCAACTCCATTGCATTGACAGCTGATTCGCAGAAGAAGAATCGAATTCAAGTCTCCAACACCAAGAAGCCCCTATTCTTCTATGTTAATCTCGCCAAGGTTTGTTTCCTTTCGACTCTTGGCTTCGGATTCACTTCATTTATTGACTCCTTCCGAATCTGGCTTCTCTAATTTTTTATAAATTGTTAACAGGTTCTTTGTTTTGGGATTTTTCTGTTCGTTTATCTGGTTTGTTTTGCTAACCCTCTGCTTACCGATTTTTCTTTTGTCCAATTTATGTAGAGGTATATGCAGCAGTACAATGAGGTCGAGCTTTCTGCGCTTGGAATGGGTAGGTTTTCTTTACTGTTTTTACTCCTAATATTAATGGCTATCCATTTTGAGAAGTGCGGATTTGCTTCATAGCCCTATATGTTTATTCAAGTTTGAAACTGGAACACTTGAATACTCTGCTTAAATGATGGATTTTTTGTAATGTTCTCATGTGGAAAGTCAATTTTTCATTGTTTTTTATGCGACAAATCAAACATTTTTCTATTTGAATTTCAATGCAGTCAATTGATCCTTTCAAATGGTGGTTTCGGTTATTAGTATGTTAAAACTTCTATGTATGCCTTTGCAGCCATTGCAACTGTTGTGACTGTTGCAGAAATTCTGAAAAACAATGGACTGGCTTTAGAAAAGAGTAAATATCCTCTTCCTTCCTTTTTTGAAATATACTATTGGGGCTACCTCTTAGAGATAATGACTTCTTTAGAGATGATGAATATAATTTTGAATGCTCACAAAAATTTTCTTATCTTCTATAGAGATAATGACCTCAACTGTTGATATCAAGGATGATTCTCGAGGGAGACCAGTTCAAAAAGCTAAGGTAATACGTCGTACTGCTTTCTTGCTTTGTTACTTCACAATGGATGATAATTTGGAAGCTGCCTCTCTTTTTTTCTCCCTTAAAAGAAACATTGCAAGAGATTTCTCTCTCGTATCTTGGCACATAAAAGTATACCCTCGTGTAACTTCCAATCCGGTTTATCACGTTTATTTACTTTCATATTTGGACCCTAGAAATTAGTGGTGTGGGTTATAGACGTTTATTCACTGAGCGTGCAAATTAATTGCTGGGACTGCGAAATTTCTCTGTGATTTTCATCTGATTAGATAAATCTAACATTTGTAATGACTGATTTTTACCTTCTAGATTGAGATTGTGCTGGGGAAAACTGAAAACTTCGATGAACTGATGGCTGCTGCTGAAGAGGAAAGGGAAAACGAAGATGGTGAAGAGCAGAGTTGAAAAGGTTTTTTTTTTTTTTCTTTTTTGTTCTTATCCTCCTTGTGGATGACTTGTTCTTTCCTTATATCTGGTCTCTCTGTTGTTAATTACGTTAGTAAACAAGTGGTTCATTTACTGATGTAGGTTTTTTAGTTGGGGAACCATTGACTTGCCCATTTTTAGGTACCATGGGATATCTTTGTTTAAGAGTGGAAACATAATTTGATTCTTCAGTTTTGGTAAATGTGCATTCGATAGATGATTTGCTTCAGAAATTTAAACTGCATTCAAAGTATTTTTACATGTAGTACGATTTAACCTTGTTCCCCACAATCTGATAATCACTTTGGACGAACTGCACATGTTCATATCATGAGTTTATTGAACATGTAAGGTCAAAAGAGAATGCTTTTGAGAAACATGTTTTTTTATGGCATGGTACTCCTAACCGATCCCACATTGGGTTCCATTTATTTGTCCTCAAGTCCGATACAGTGGGGAAGTACCCTCCTTTTGTATTCTCTTCATCAAAGTAGCTAAGATACCGTATTGGTACAATTGAAGCATCTTCTTCTTTCTCGAACTCAGTATTCTCTTTGATACTCTCTACATAAAGCACAGAGTATTCTCTTTGATACTCTCTACATAAAGCACAGGAAAACTATTCCTACGGCTGGGACAAGCTTAAAGTAGCTTTCCTCCCGTATGTAAACTTTCTAGTTAGATCACACATTGGTTAGAGAGGGGAACAAAACATTCGAGTGTGGAAACCTCTCCCTGGTAGATGCGTTTTTAAACCTTGAAGAGAAGTTCGAAAAGGAAAGTCCAAAGAGGACATCTATTAGCGGTGGGCTTGGGCTGTTACAAATGGTATCCGAGCCAGACATCGGCAGTGTGCCAGTGAGGACGTTGGGCCTCCAAGGGGGATGAATTGTGAGATCCCACATAGGTTAGGGAGAGGAACAAAACATTTCTTAGAAGGGTGTGGAAACTCTCCTTAGTGGACGTGTTTTAAAATCTTGAGGGGGAGCCTGAAAGGAATAGTCTAAAAAATACAATATCTGCACACGGTGGGGTTGGGTTGTTACAGTTATTACTCCAGTTAGGCTTTAATAAGGCCTCTGTAAAATTTGGAAGGCACTCTCCTTCGGTCTCTTTGTTCTTAATTATGTTGTCTGTTCTTATCCCTCCTTGCTTGTGGGTTATCGCTGATAACAGTTACAAAGCTAAAGGAAAGCGGAGGCAAAACATGTTACTTCATGGCACAGAGAATGTCACTCAATAGGGCAGGTTTCTAAGTCTCTATTAGTTCCATTTGGCAACAGGATGCTCGAATTCAGCTATTCAAACTGTACCTTATGTATGACCATAAACCTCTTTTGTCGCTGAAATTTGTGGTTTTAGTCAATTTATATCTCTTAGATATTGAAAATTTGTGATTCATTTTTGTCGATTGTTAGAGAGTTACAAGCTAATAAGATATAAAGAAAAATGTTTTAAAATTGTGATATGTTAAACTAATGCATTGTCTAATCAAAATTAATCCCAAAAAATAGTTATTTGTAAAAATAAATTTGAGTAAATATTTTAATAAATTATTATTAATTTATTAATTATAACTATATTTAAAATAAAACTATAAATAAAATGAAAAGAAAGAAAGGAGACAGAGAAGGTTCAAAATTAATCCTTAAAACTAAGTCTATTTTGTTTTATCTAACAATCTCCTAATGGCCTCTAAATGTAAACCCAACAACCCACTTTTATCAATTGGCCTCTAAACCTCTAAATGTTTATACGAACTCATCTTCTATCACGGCCTCTAATTAACTCATCTTATCAAACATCCTCTAAATGTTTACATGAACTCATCTTCTATCAAACAGCTTCTAAACATTTCTATGGTATCCATCTTTATTGGTGAATCGCGACATCGAGAAGGTTCATAATTATTTTTTTTTTAGAAAAATATCAACTGGCTACATCATAAGGGGATTTCTAGCCAATCTAACCAATAAGAAATTCATATAGTAAGGAATAGGGATAACAATATAATTTGGATTGGATTATATCCCTCAGAAATATCACTTCTTTGATTGCTACAAGGTGGAACCAACTGATCAATCCCTACAAAGAAAAAAAAAAACTACATATTCGTCTTCTGATAGTGTGTGAGAAAGGGAGGCACTATTCTTTGAATGGAGAAGATAATTACTACAATAAACAGTCCAAATGCAAAATTTCTTCCATAAAGAAGATTGTGTAATACAAGAACTCTTAGTTAAAATACCAACCATTATAAAGGATAATAACCTCATTTGGCCTTCCCTTTCTTTGATGATCCCTTCTTCAGCGGCTTCTTCTGAAGTTTCTTATTTGGTTTCAACTTGCTCGATGTTGATGATGAAGGCTTTCTATCATCATGTTTGCGCCTCTTTTCTCTTTTCACATTGTACATGTTCACAGCCTATACTCAGGATAATTAGTAAAGACCATTAGACAAAATGTCCAACCATGGAGCAACGAAGAAAGATGTCAGTTGCTGAAACCAAAACAAAGAAAAGTATGATATAACGACCTTATTGATGTTTAGTATCTCATGTGAATTCTTAGATATTAGACGGTTCAGGACTTTCTCAGTTTGCTCCCTTTCTCGAGAGCCAACGCCCGTTCCTTCCACAACGGGTAAAAACTGCGTGTAAACAAAGAACAAAATAATTAACTTTATGATAGGCATATAATATGCCCGAGCATGGCAAGGAGAAGGATTGTCTAGTTAACCTTGCGATATTTTCCTTCATGCTTTGGAGGCTTTTCTCCAGGCAACTTCTTGTCGAATTTTCCACCGCTAGCTGTTGCGGTTGCAGCCATTCCAGCCACGTTTCCAAGCTCATCTTTTGTAATTTTCTTTGTTGTAGCTTGCGTCCCGGTTATGGGCAGAGCCGTTGCAGCTAGTTGAACGTGGCTGCATCAGTTTAATCAACTTAGCTTATATATAACAGAAAACTGATGAAAATCAAAAGACAGATTTAAGACATTAAGATATTGTTGGAAACGAAAGGCACAAATCAATGGGTTTAACAGGTACAAAGTGGTCAAATGCTCCACCTTCCTACCCAAAGTACAAACAGATGGGACAATATCGAAGAAGTTTAAATACCCAAACATACGCAATAGTATGATTGTGAGAAGATATAATCTAATTACTTGATCAACACCCAACAACTGTGATAAGAGGGTAAAACCTTGGCAAAGCACCAACTTTTGCAGCTTGTTTCAGATTCTGTAAGCGATTATTTTCTTGCTTTTCAACTCGTTTCCTCTTATTTTCTTGCCTCTTAGCAAAGGGATCCACTCCCGGCTCTGCAAATGCAAAAAAGCATGATACTTAATGGGCATTTTGATATCTATATTAGTTGAGAGTGGAAAGGGCAAGTATCAATATTCAAATTCTCTCTGTCGAAGTTATTATGTTCAGAAATTTGACATCAAGAAATAAAATAAAAAGACATACAATTAACAAAAGGAAAAGTAGTCCATCTTAAAATGCAAGGTTATATTAAATAATACCATCTGTCATCTTGGCCTCAATGATGGGTATGTTCTCCTCATCATTTGCACGATCATAACCATGGCGACGCTTCCATGTTTGAGTTTGTTCATCATACAGAATCTTATCTTTTTTCCTGTTTTTTATACCTGCAAAAGTCACAAAGTACTAAAATTAAATTCCACCCCAGAAACTCCCAATCCCAAAAGTCTATTGTTCGGTAGGATTATGCCTCTCATTCTTCTTGTTATTTGTTTCTTTTCTTCTTTATCAATTTTTTCCTTTACAGCAAGTCAGACTTTCAGCTCAATTCAATTCAATCCACACAATTGAAGGATTGGAAACATGAATCTTTTAATACAATACCAAAACAGCACAAAACAGGATCAAAGCATAAAAAAAACGTCCAACCTCGTTTTTTAGCAAAAAGTTCCCATTTTGTAGGAGCCTTAGGCTTTGGAAGCTGGAAAGAAAGAAAGATATCACCTCAACCAAAATGTAAACATCCATAGTTTAAAAGCAAAAACGAGACGATAAACGAAAAGATCAAATATTCATGGGCTTACAGGCTTCTCCCTGGGCAATTTCGTTTTAGGTTGAGACAACTTCACTAGAGGACCATCTCTATCTTCAGTTGAAGGCAGGATGAAAAGTTCGTTAGCAATAGCTTGAACTAGCTCTGTACCCTTCTGTAGACATTCATTCACTAGCTCCTCCCTGTAAGTATAGAAATAACCAAGCAAAAATAGTAAAGATTCTCTTCAAATATATATGTTCATGCCAATGTGTTTAAATAGTATACAGATTGAAAACAACCAAAACCCTCAAAACACCAAAGTTTTTTCTAATTATCGTATTCTTTTCAATAACATGCTTTAAGAAATTAACCAAACAAACAGTATTCCAAGGCTGAGAAATCATAGTTCCTCAAAGCCAAAATCCGGTTCAAAGATGTCAATCAAAGGAAACGAAAGAGCAGAACCAATAACTAAAAGAAAACCCGCATCGAATTCAGAGATAGAAAGTTCCAAAAAATACGAACTTAGACCGTGTAGCAACAACAGGTGGTGTAAACGTGGTTTGCATAACAGATTTGACGTAGGGAGAAGAGGCAAACCTGGTGGGCGGCGGAGAGGTGAAATGGTGGTGAGGATCGAACGCCATTAGATGACCAATGTCGACCTGAACTTCCTGCGGCGTCTCCATCACCGGCCGATTCAAGAGACTTCTCAGGCGAAAGAGCAAATACCAAATTCAGGGTTTAGGAGTGGGACAAGAGAAGTTGCTTCTCCACGAAACGACGCCGTTATATCATCTTCGTTTTCTTCGCACAGTTAACCCTAGTTGTTCTCACGGCCATGCGGGCCCACAAACACCAATTATTTATTTATTTTTCTTTTTTTATTATTATAACATTATAATTTATAAATAAAAATAAAAAATCTTCCATGGTAGATATTATGCCTTAAATTAACTCCTCAATGATTTATTAAATTATTATTCGTATAATTAAATTTATATTAAAACACTAAATTTTTAGCATGAAAAAATTCATTAATAATAAGCTTAAATTTTTATAATATAATAATTTAATCTTTGTATTTATAAATACATTTGATATCTAATTATCAATGGCAATAAGTATTAAGTTTTAACTAAATGATCATAAATTTTAAAATATAAATTCTAAATTATTATATTTAAAATTTATAATCTAAATTATTATTAATTATTAGTTTAGAAGTGATTTTTTTTTTTTTTTTTTTTTTTTTTCGAACTCAAAAGTTTTAAGGGGAAGTGGGCTTGACCTGAATATTTTCCCTATACGTACCCGCCTCGGGACTCAAAGCCACCGTCTTGGTTTTCGATTCCAATTCTCTGGACACTCAATCAGGGCTTGTTCATGCATAAATTGTAGAGGCAATTCGGCATCGTCTCCTTCAGATCCATCGGTAAGCCCAACTTCAATTCTCCTCGTTCTTTTTTTTTTTTTTTTTTGCTTTTTTGATTCAATTTGCATCGAAACAGTGTATAATTTCTCATCGGCTTCCTCCATTTCTTAATCCCAATTTTCTATATTCGTTAAATCTAAGTGCGAAATTGAATTGGTCTGTGGCGGTGTTGTTAGTGTCAAGTTTATTAACTGCCTCCTTGTTTTTGCCCCAACTAAAATCCCTATGTTGTTTTGGTAGAGGGTTTTTGCGGTAATTGGGATGGATGGGAATAAGGATGATGCTTTGAAATGCTTGAGAATTGGAAAGGAGGCGTTGGAAGCTGGGAATTTGGTTCGAGCCCTAAAATTTGTGAACAAAGCTCGTCGTCTTGATCCGACGCTTCCCGTCGACGACCTCTTACCGGAACTTAAAAACGTTTCTGGTGATCAGTTGGGTGGTGATGCGTGTGATGCCGGCCATGGGCCATCTGGGTCCCCTTCGTCCAAGTCCCCTGAACAACAACCATCTGTTCGTCGTAGAGTTCCGGCATCTGGTTCTTCTGAATCTTCAACGTCTGCGACTTATACTGAGGAGAATGTAGAGATTGTAAGGCAGATCAAGAAGAAGAAGGATTACTACGAGATTTTGGGATTGGAGAAGAGTTGCTCTATTGAGGATGTTCGGAAGTCGTATAGAAAGCTGTCTTTGAAGGTCCATCCAGATAAGAACAATGCTCCTGGTGCTGAAGAAGCGTTTAAGGCGGTATCCAAGGCCTTTCAGTGTCTAAGTAACGAGGAGAGTAGAAAAACGTATGATCTTGTTGGGTCCGAGGAAGAAGTCTATGAGAGACGGACCGCAAGACATGGTGGTAATGGATTTAATGGGTTTTACGAAGGTGATGTTGATGCAGATGAGATATTTAGAAACTTCTTCTTTGGTGGAATGCCACCGACAACTACTCATTTCCGTAGTTTCAATTTTGGCCCTGGAATGGCTCCTAGAACAGGTGATCAGGGTTCAGGTGGTGGCCTTCGGACACTGATTCAATTGCTTCCTGTGCTGGTGATATTGCTTTTGAATTTCATGCCATCCTCAGAGCCTATCTATGCCCTTTCCCGTTCATATCCTTATGAACACCGATTTACAACTCAGAAGGGTGTCAATTATTATGTGAAATCAAAAAACTTCGAACAGGAGTTTCCACCTAATAGTCGGGATCGTCTGGTTCTTGACCAAAGGGTAGATAGGGAGTATTTCAATATTCTTGCACAGAATTGTCGACTCGAGATGCAACGACGCCAGTGGGGATTCATTCGTGAAACTCCGCATTGTGATATGTTGAATAAGTTTCAATCAGCGGCTTAATGAAGGTCCATTTCAACTCTCTCTCTCTCTCTCTGTTATCATTTTGGCAGTTTTGAATTATGTGCATAGTTTAGCAGCATGATTGGGTGTATTAGTTCCTCCCAAACAATAAGAAGTATAGAGGAAAGTTGTTGGTCTCGAAAATGAGCTTATACATTTTCTTACATTTTAATGAATGAATGAAGGAAGAAGGAAAGTTGCGTTTCTTATTTATTACCCACAATCTGTATCAATGCTGTAGATTGTCGTGCGTTCAGACTATGCCCCTTGATATTCTTTTATTTTGCCAATATTTGCTCTCTAACAGAACATAATCCTAAAAGATATTACAAAGTCATTAGATTTTTGTAAAAGTCAGTTGTGGTCGAAGAAGCATTAGCTTTCTCCATGCATGGTGGCAGACTGGTGAATCAAACTGGTTTGACATTTCAAATCAATGGTATTTTGTGAGATCCCACGTTGATTGTCGAGGGGAACGAGTGTCAGCGAGGGCGTTGGGCCTCGAAGGGGGGTGGATTGTGAGATCTCACATTTGTTGGAGAAGGGAACGAAGCATTCTTTAAAAGGGTGTGAAAAAGTCTCTCTAGCAGACGTGTTCTAAATCCTTGAGGGGAAGCCCAGAGGTGAAAGCCCAAAGAGAACAATGTCTTTAACTGTGCTCATGTTTTTTTTTTATCTCAATGAATCTTTCTACCTGTACATGGTCAAGTTTCCCGAAGTCTAGCTCCGATTGCATTAAGCCAGTGAATTTGTCCTCCTTTTTACTAAAACCACACAAATAGCCATTTGAGTCTTTTTTGCCAGAATGCCCCAATTTTGGCCAGTTGACCTTTGAGGTTGCTAGTTTGGGCTTGTCACGGGTACTCATTTCCTCATGAAAAAAGGGATGAAAGGAATCCTTTTTTTGAAAGGTTCATCCCCTAATGAAATTCTTCCTCATCCATGCTTCTCCTGTAGAGAATTTTCACTTGCCTCTGTCATTATTCAATCATCTTACAACTCTAACCAAAAACGTTTGCTAACAACCTAGGATGTAACGTAGGAAACAAATTAAGCAAGCAAGAAGAGGGGCTATAGACGTCCGTGAGCCAAAATATAAAACCCATCACCTGTATTGCACGAAGAGAGGGGCTATAGACGTCAGTGATCCGAAAATATCACTCAGCTGAGAAAGAGAGAGAGATGGGAGGGGCCTGCAGATTGTGGCAAAGAATGAGACTGTAGACTGAGAATGAGCTAGAATTCAAATGATTGATATTTGAAGTTTTTTTTAGTGCCCACTTTCAGTTTATTACTTACCTCGGTTCTTGTACCTTTGAATCTTAGATGCACTTACTAGTTATTCATGACAAATATTCATTCATAAATTTTCATTTAGAAATCATAGCTTTCATGTACACTGCAATGACACAACGTGACATTGTCTGTTTGGACTTAGTTCCTCTGGAAATATGGAATTGCATCTCATTGTTTTTGGTACCGATAACTCTACCTGTTCGCATGCTAAGCATTCATGCCTTTACCTCTCTTCTATAACTGATAGAACCCATACAACAAGAATAGAATAATATTGAAATCTAAAAGATATAAGAACAACAATATAACTCCGAGTATTGGAACTTGGAACCTCCCAAGTCTAAACCAACTAAATAAGTGCTTACTCCATCCTTTCTCCCTCCCTCTATTTTGTTTCAACAAATCTCCACGAACAACTTTCGTATGTGACTACTAGTATTCAATGACTATAACAGCCAAAGCTCACTGGTAGCAAATCTTGTCCTCTTTGAACTTTCCCTTTTAAGACTTCCCCTCAAGGTTTTTAAAAAAATGTCGGGGTGAGGTTTCCACACCCCCATAAAGAATACTTCGTTTTCCTCTCCAACTGATGATGTAGGATCTCACAATAACATTCCTAGCGATATCATCCTTCATAGTTCTCTGCTTTTGCTCACGCAATTAGATTACAACAATTCTCAGTTGGGTGTAAAGCCTCTATGTTAATCACACATATTTGGAACTTGTTTCGCAGGTCCTGTTTTCTCGTGTGGCAGACGAATTCCTAGGATGTTTGCACGAGCCTGAAGCGGGAGTCAAATAGTTACCCCAGATCTGAGGTCGCTCTTTATCTTCTATTCTGAATGCTTCGCTTGTAAATCTCATATTCTCACCACCATCTTAGGTTCTAGCATATTTTCCCAGCATTACAATAGATTTACTTGAGTAGATGCTGAATAATTTTAGAGCTTGAGCTTGGATGTACTGATTATATCCCTTTGCATTATCTGAACCAACGAACACTATTATGACTGCCTTTGTCACAGCTTGTATTTTGACATCATTTCATTATGTTTAATTAGAAAGAGTGGCCACATCTATTTGAGTTATCATTGGATCCAAGATTTGGATTGCAACCTTTCTTCATTCTTTAAAATCAAATCAACCTAAGATCATTCCTAGAGTTCTTATAGCATAGATATTGATCAAACACTCAATTTTTTTTTCCTTTTTTCTGGGTAAAAATTTTTACTTTCATTGAAACGGTTAAAATTAGTGGGTAAATTTAGTTCGAACTTAAACGTCGGAATTTTTTTAAAATCTAGAGTGAACAAAAAAAAAAATGTAATTTTTTCTTTTTAAAAAGTTTAAATAAAACTAATTAATTAATGTTAAGATTATTGAAAATGAGTAACAATTGTGTGAAATTTTGATTAAAAAGTTTTATAAAGAAAAATATTATACGTAAAAATTAAAACTTTTATATTCCCGAAATTGAAAGAAAATTTTAAATTGGCGATATGTGGTGATGCAGTTATTGTCGAGTCAGCTGAAATTGGCCACTTTACATTAGTTCTAAACGCGTCATTCCATTTAAATACCGGTCTCAATTTCCCAATATTTCTCCTTCCATCAGGAATTGCAATCCCTAGATTTCTCTATCCGGACCCATCCATGCGTCTACGTTGAGGGCACTTCTTGAATCGTCTTCTTCAGCACCATCTGTAAG